AACTGGTGCACCAGGATGGATCTTTTGCTATGAAATCAGGCATACATGTTTAAGAGATTTGGCTAAGAACAGGAGAGAGTAAGATAGCGAAGACACGGGATGTAATAGGAGAACACAAAAAAACTTTTTTTTCCTAAGGGATTGGGAAGACCTAAGCATATCTACAGACAAATAGGAAGCAACCAATGGAAAGGAGGAAAAGACTGAAGGTGCATGACAAAGATGAGATGAATGCCGGAAATTCTGAAAGAAGTGTAGTAAAATCAAGGGCACATGGGATCAAAGACACAAGTAGAGGGATTAGGCTTAAAAAGGAGCAAGGTTAGCTTCAGCTGAGACAGAATGAGGAATTTATGATGATGCTAACATGTTTTGAGGAAGAGAAAAGGAAATTTGAGAGCTTTCCTGCTGGATCACTTCAACCATATCAGAAGAAGCTAAGTTAACTGCTATAAATTTGAAGGTGGGGTTGTGGCTGTGATCTTGAGAGAGGTAAAGGTGCAGCTGCTGCAGGGAAACATGTAAAGAAGTAAGTGGCACTGGTCTTTCTGCTACTGCTGTTATCTCTCTGCCCTCTGAAACAGTCACTATCTTTCCCCTCCAACTATCCTTTTTTCCTAATTTTTCTATTCCTGCCCAGAGCACCACCACCCTTCCAGTCACCCAGGTCCAAAACTTCAGAGTTCCTTCAACTCTTCTCTTTCCTTCACTTCACATATCTAATCAGTTGCCAAATTTTGTCAATTTTATTTCCACAATCTATCTTGAATTTATCCCCTTTTCTGCACTCACATTGCTGCCATCCTAATAAACACCCTTATCACCTTTAACCTGTACTACTGGTCTCTCCCCTCCAATCCATTCTTTATGCAGTGGCCAAATTGATGTTCCTAACCCACAACTCTGACCATGTCACTCCTTGACTCAGTGAGCTCCAGGGACACCTTTTTAGCTGTAGGATAAAACATAAACTCCTTTATCTGACTTTTTCAAGCCTTTTAAAATCCAGTCAGCCTGGCCTACTTTTATTTCCCATATACAACACTCCCACCTCGATGTCTCTGCATTGACTATTCCTTTCTGGAACACACTGCTTCCTTACCTCTGTCTCTAAGAATCCCGAGTTTCATTCAAAGTGCAGCTTAAGCACTGCATTCATTAGGATAAATATCCAGATTCCTTCAGTTGCCAGTTTCTTCTTCTAGAAATTACTTTGTATATAATTGCATTGTAATAGCCTGTTGGTGGGTCTGCCTGCCTCTCCCCAGTCCAACTCCAATCCATCCTCCTCCATTCAGTCACTAAAAGGATTTTCTAAAACTCAGGTCTGATCATGTCACCTTCCTACATACTAATAAACTCCAGTGGCTCCCTATTGTCTCCAGGATCAAATATAAGATGTTCTGTTTGGCCTTCAAAGCCCTTTATACCCTAGTCCTTCCTACCTTTCCAGTCTTCTTACACCTTACTCTCCAACATGTACTCGTCAATCCAATCACATTGGCCTCCTGGCTGTTCCAACAGCAAGACACTCTATCTTTCTGCTCCAGACATTTTCGCTGGGGTGGTTTCCCTCTGCTAATAATTTCCTATTTATCCGCTATATAGCTTGCTTTGTGTATTTTTGTTTGCATGTTGTCTCCATTAGATTATAAGCTTCTGGAGGGCAAGGACTATCTCTTGCCTCTTTAGTTTTAATGCTTAACACAGTGCCTGGCACATAGTAGACATTTTATAATGTTTACTGATTAATTGATCAGAAATCCTAAGTCTTTCAAAGTTGTTTGTCTTTATTATATATATATATGCATATATATATATATGAATTATAATATTGTTGTTATTATGTAAAGTGCTCTTCTGGTTCTGCTCACTTCACTTTGCATCAGTTCATAAAAGTCTTCCCAGATTTCTCTGAAACTATCCCCTTCACCATTTCTTACAGCACAACAGTGTTCCATCATATTTATAAACTGTAACTTATTTAGCCACTCTCCAATTGGTGGGTACCCCCTCAGTTTCCAGTTCTTTGCCACCACAAAAAGAACTGCTATAAGTATTTTTGTATATTTGGGTCCTTCTCCTTTCCTTGATCTTTTTGGGATATAGATGTAATTGTAGTATTGCTGGGTCAAAGGTATACAGTGCATCCCCTTAATAAAAGGATTTGTTCTGTGAAGTTTGGATTCAGTCAGAGGGCTGCACTTGAGGACCTAGAGCCACATGTGGCCTCGAGGTCACAGGTTTCCCACCCCTGGTATACACAATTTAACAACTTTGGGGGCATAATTCCAAATTGCTTACCAACAATGTATTAATGTACCTGTTTCCACAAACAACCCTTTCAGTATTTGTCATTTTCCATTTTTTGTCAATTTTGCCAATCTGATGGGTATGAGGTGAAACCTCAGAATTGTTTCAATTTGCATTTCTCTAATTATTAGTGATCTGGAGCATTTTTTCATGTAGTTATTGACAGCTTGGACCTATTCATATCCTTTAACCATTTATCAATTAGTTAGTGGCTCTTATTCCTTCTGTATCTTAGAAATGAGACCTCTACCACAGAAACTTGCTGCAAAGCTTTTTCCCATTTGCCTGCTTCTCTTCTAATATTAGCTGCACTGATTTTGTCTGCGTAAAAACCTTTTCATTTTAGGTAATTAAAATTTACCTTTTACAATCCTTCTTTATCTCGTTTGGTCATGAACTCTTCCTTTATGCATAGATTTGACCAAAGGTAATTTCTTCCTTGCTTTTCTAATTTGTTTATGATGTTACCCTTTAAGCTTAAAGTATGTACTCATTTGAAGTCTATATGGTATGAGTTGTTGAACTATACCTAGTTTCTTCCAGACCGTTTTCCAGTTTTCCCAAGAGTTTTTGTCAAATAATGGGATGCCTTATCCCAATAGCTGGGATTTATCCTTGGGTTTATCCAACACTAATCTGTTGTGCTTTTTTGCTTCTATGTTTTGTGTACCTAATCTGTTCTACTGATCAACCTATTTTTTGACCTATATCACACTATTCTGACAATTACTACTTCGTAGTATAGTTTGAGATCTGGTATTGCTAGGCCCCTTCCTTCCTACTTTTTTCATTAATTCCCTGATATTCTTGACCTTTCATTTTTCCAGATGAATTTTATCATTTTTTCTAGATCTATAAAGTGATCCTTTGGTAGTTTTGTACGGCACTAGGTAAGTACATTCATATAGAGAGTGTTGTTATTTTTATCATATTGGCCTACCCGTGAGCAATTAATATTTCTCCAATTATTTATGCTTGTCTTTGGTGCAGAGTATTTTCTAATCACGTTCATATAGTTTCCATGTGTCTTAGAATGGGGACTCTCAAGTACTTTATACTGTCTGCAATTATTCTAAATGAAACTTCTCTTTCTACCTCTTCCTGTTGGATTTTGGTGGAAATATACAGAAATGCTGATGATATGTGTAGATTTATTTTATATTCTACAACTCTGCTGAAGTTAATTGTTTCAACTAACTTTTTAGTTAATGTTAAGGTTCTCTATGTAAACCATCATATCACCTGCAAAAAAAGAACATTTTGCTTCCTCTTTGCCTCTGATTATTCCCTCAATTTCTTTTTCTTGTCACTGTTACAGCTAGAATTTCTAGTACTATATCGAATAGTAGTGGTGATAATGGACATCCTTGCTTTATCTGTGATTCTACTGAAAAGGCTCCTAGTTTACCCCTAATCCTGGCTCTTGATTTTAGATACATACCACTTACATTAAGGAAAGATTAATTTTTTCCTATGCTTTTCAATGTTTTTAACAGGAATAGGTATTATATCTTCTCAAAAGCTTTTTCTGCATCTATTAATATACTCTTATATGATTTTTATTGTTCTTGCTATTAAAAAAGCCAATTATGTTTATAGTTTTCCTAATACCGAACTACTCTTGCATTCCCAGTATAAATCTAGCTTAGTCATAGAGTAATATCTTCGTGAATGCTTGTTGGATGTTGAATGAATGTTGAATCTATTGTTATGCCACACTGCTAGAAACTATATACGTTTAAAGCATTTCCTCTACCTTGTATTTCTATTTACAATTTCCACTAACTACACATACCGATTGCCTTGGGTTCATATACAGTCAGCCCAGCAGAAATGTTTTATGGTAAACATAATTTCAATGAAGATACACTGTCTATATCTTTAGACTATATGGTTTTGCTTGTTTTCTGAAGAGCTTTATTTTAGGATGGGTAGGTGGCACAATGGATACAGCACTGAGCCTGAAGTCAGGAAGTCCAAATTCAAATCCATCCTCACACATTTACCAGCAGTGTGACCCTGGACAAATCACTTAACTTCTGTTTGCCTCAGTTTCCTTAACTGTAAAATGCAGATAATAATAACACCTACCTCCCAGTGTTCTTGTAAGAATCAAATAATACTTGCAAGGCGCTTAGCACAATACCTAGAACATAGTAGATGCTACATAATTGTTAACTATTATTATTATTTTTTAAAGTATATGTGTTTTTTATCTCTTCAGAGAGAACTATTGATCTTTTTTAGTACTTTGCATCCCTAATTTACTCACTGGGTCAAGTACAGGCCAACTCTCTTCTCCTATTTTCCTCTCTCCTACCCAATTCCACATTTTTTAGATAATCATTTTCTATTCTAAACTACTGTGCAATCTATGTGTGATTAAGTCATTGATATAGTCCATCTGAAGGTTGCCTTCCTTTGAGTAATAAAAGAAACAACTTCACAAAGTTTATTAAGTACTGTAATATCTTTTTTCTCAGGGAAACTAACAGGAATGTCAAATCAGTTCCCAATTTCGATGAAAGTTTCAACTCAGTCTGAGTTTCTTACACAAAAAATTTTAACTCATAACTACATAAGTACACCATAATCAATAACTGTGAAGAGAGAGCTACAGAAATATTTAAATAACTTCCATAATCACCACTTCCCTTAATATCATGAAGGACAAAAAAAAAGAGTACCTGTATCTGAAGGACGTAGAGAATCAGTATCACAAGTGAAAAAGGTCTGATGATCCTGAGCTGACAAGTTCATGTCGTAGTATGTAAGTGGTTCCTTACCCGTCACCCACGTATATCTTTACCAAACCAGAAGAAAACATTCAAATTGAGTGTAACAGACAACCTGCCAACTTCAACAGACACTAGTTTAAATGGTAAAATGTGCTAGTCAATTTTACTTTTGGAAATCATTACTATTTTGTATTTATTATTTACTCAAATAATTTATTGATTTATTAAAAAAGAAAAATTAAATGAGAAACAGAGGCAGTAGGGTAGAGTGGAAAAAATGCTGGACATGATGTCAGAAGTCCCAAGTTTGAATACCAGCTCTGATACTCACTATGTAATCCTAGCAAAGTTGTATAAGTTCTCTGAGCCTATCTGTAAAATGAGGATAATAATGCCTACATTACCTATGTCACAAGGCTGTTCTAAGGAAAGTATTTTTGTAAATTTTAAAGTGCTATAGAAGTCTGAATTATTATATTATCACAGTGCTTATCACATTATAGGCTCTTAATAAATGTTTACTGACTACTGACACCAATCACAGTCTTTCTTCCCTTATCAAAGCTCTTAAGAAAACAAAAACACCTCAAAAAAATATTTCCCAGGTTATCAAGAGATTCACGAAAACGCTGCTATCATTGCCTAAGAAAATATTTCAATTTGCCTCAAACTGAATCATGGCACTTCCTAATCTTGAAATGGTCAAATAAAATACAATAGTGACCAAAACCAAAGAGTAACAGCCAGATGACAATACTAAAAATATATATATATTTTCTATGTAGTGTAAAAATGCCCAATATTATTAGGAAAGAAATAGACAAAGCAGTACAGGTACACACACACACACACCCCAATAACCAGGAAAAGCATACTAAACTAAAACCAAGTGGAGTCCTATAATAACATATTTATATTCAAAGTGAAATACTTGAGTAAATGCTCCCCCCCATTTTTGAAGTTTAATGTCTTATTGGGAAATATGCTGACATGTAAAATGTTCTTTTATCCTGATTATTTCTGAACACTTTCTATAAATATTGAGAGTCAAAATATCTATTTCCTAAACTGTATATCAAGAGAATATTTGTTTTGAAGGAATGTTTCTTATTATTATTGAAAGAAAAATGCTTATTGGATTTGAGCAGAATATAAACACCTCAAGGGTAGGATTTTGTCTCTGTACCCTCGGTGCCTAACACAGGACTTTGGACATAGCAGGCACTTAATAAATGTTTACTGAACTGAAGGAAACAATAATAATAATGTTTCTACAAGCTAAGTCTTAGTCAAATCACACTGCCTTAATATACTCCAGTTTTTCCCACCCACAAATGGGGCAAAACTGTTAACCTATTTCACAGAAGACCAGTAGTTTTAATATTCACAAAATATGTGGTGTTTCCATGGCATTTTTTCATCAGGAACTAAATATCATTATTACTAATATATTTAAAAATTAAATTAAAATACCTTCTATATTCAGCTCCTCTGAAAAGATTTAAAGGGTTTCGCCATACCTTGCATTCTAGAAAAGTAAAATGAAAACATATTTAAAATTATGACAGAAAAACTACACATGACAATTAAAGAAATAATACTTGGACATGAGGGAGACCATTAATTCATTCATTCACCATATATTTACTAAGTACTTTCTACTGTGCTAGGTGCTGTGGGGAAAACAATGATTAAAATTTGGTTCCTATCTCTAAAGATATTAGAAGAGATAAGACAAAGAAACAGATACCTAGACTATAAAGAAGCAGGTAAAATATTCAAGAAGTTCAGTGAAGGAGAGCTAACTTCCTGTTAGGAGAAAACAGGAAAAAGTCCAAAGGAGGTAGTATTATTTCAGTTGAGCTTTGAAGGCTTAGTAAGAACTTGAAGGGGTAGATATTTATGAACAAAGGCAAAGAAAGGGAAAATGTAGGGTGCGTGCTGCAATCACCCAATATGGCTAGAGACCAAGAATAATCAACAAGAAGTTAGGCTGGAAAGGCACATCAGCTTTGGAAGAGCCTTGAATAGCAAGCTAACCAATTTATCAGACAGCCTGCAAAACTTACTAGTGCTAGGATCAGATTAAATGGTAATTGGGAAATGTTTAACAAAATAAAATAAAAATACAATACAACAGAGATATGTTAATTTGTGATGTTCTAAGTCCATACAGGGATCCCTTTCTATTTGATTTTTATTCTAGAGGTTTAGATATTATTCAGTAGGCATGGAAAACCATTTAAAGTTTTCAAACTATGGAATAACATTAAGTATGTTACTTTAGGAAGATTACTATAGTAAATATCAGCTAGGACATGGCATAGAAAAGTTTCCATAGAAATAGCTACTGTGAAAATAATTCATCTTTTCTTTGTGAACAAATAGCAAAAATATAGGCTCTACTATCCATTTGCATTAGGCAATAATTGTTCTTCTCTCTTTCTGAATTTCCATGGGATGTTCAGCCTCTAAGATATGAAATTGCTACCATCCCTCCCTGTACTTCTGAAAGACTATTATTAGCCTTGATTTACATTTGATGTTTGCTATTGTTGTTTTAAAACAAATTATCTGGCTACAACAGTTGATTTTTTTAAGCAAGGGGGGTCAAAATCATCAATCTTGTAAAATAGCTTATTAATTTTTTTAATACTCCACTAATATTCTACATGAGAAACTAGGTGGCCCAGTGGATGGAGCAGTGGGCTTGAAATCAGGAAGACTCATCTTCATGAGTTCAAATCTGGCCTCAGACATTTACTAGCTGTGTGGCCTTGGGGAAGTCACTTAACCCTGTTTGCCTCAGTTCCTCATCTATAAAATGAGCTAGAGAAAGAAATGACAAACCACTCTATCTTTGTCAAGAAAACCCCAAAATAGGGTCACAAAGAGTCGGACGTGACTGAAACAACTGAACAACAGCAACAACAACAAAAAAAACCAATTGCTTAATTGTGGCATGGTGGCATCCCTGAGTTCTAAAAGGCTATGCTATTAGTGTTCAAGTTCTTACAGGGCTGACCCAGCTAGAAATATTTCAAGTATAGATGATGGACTGTTGTTCAAAGCCCAATCTAAGTTCAGAAAAGCTCATTGCCATAAGACTGACCAATGGGCATGAACTCCGTGGATATGGCAACTCAGAAAACTGTCTACTAAAGTGTGACTGGGGAAGCAGGGGGCTACATTGCTGGGAAAAGTACTCACACCAATTAAATCACAAGTCTTCTGAAGCATTATTACAATAGAATTAGATTATCTGTGTGGAATAGAAAGAAAGCAATAAAACCAACAATCCCCAAATCATCTTTATCTAGTGACAGAATAAATCGTTTTTCACACGCCCCAATAAATTTTTTCTAATTCTGTTCGATTTAGACTAATAACAGCAGGGGGGACAAAGAGTATCTAGATTTAAAAGCTGACTATGCATAACTGAGGACTGCAGCTCCCCTAAAGAAAGCAAAGGAGGGCAAATCAAAGATGACGGAGTGATAGAAAGTAATATTGTCAAAGTCCTCTCCACAAACTCCTCCTAACAGATTTAGAAAACCCAGCCAGGGAAATTCAGAAAGAATCACAGCGAGTCCTTTGTCCAGAACAGCTCAACACAGAGAGACAACCAGAGAGGTCTGTGGACACTAGGGACAGGGTAGGGTGACCGCTACAGTACCTAGGGAGAGGCTGTGTACCATGACAAGCAAAGGCCTCAGACCCAATGTGGCACTTTGACAGGTATTAATTGGCAGTTTTATCATCCATTCCCCAATGTCTAGTCACAAATTCAGGGTGGAGTGAGAAGGGGACCTGCCCCAACGGCATTCCCATTCCTGGGTAGGTAGGCCACAGGCAGTATATGGAGAAAAAAAGCAGCAGCAGTTATGGCTGAGACCTCAGGAGCAAAACAGGGCCCATATAGCCTAGACTGCAGAAGAATAACCAAGGAGGGAATTCCAAACCAAAGAGGAGCCTACCATTCAGCCTCTCTGAGCCAACAGAGCTTTCCAGCTGGCTGATGGAGGCCGAATCCAGCAGCACCTATTCCTGCACAGGCTCAGGCCAGGGGGGGCAGCCACATGTGGCCTTGATCAGACCCTTTAGGGAACAGGTCCCAAGTGTGTCCCTGATATCCCAGAATAACACAACACTCCCTACTCAAGAAAGCAGCAACAGGACCAACCTAGAAGTGCCACAGAGCCTGGCCCTAACACTTCACCCAAAGTCAGGAAGGAAGCTGGAAGAATGGGTAAATAAGAACCTGACCATAATGAGCTATTATGGTGACAGGATGCCCAACACATAAGCACAGAAGAGAATGATTTCAAAATATCTATAAGCATGCTTCAGAGAAAAATATACCTGGGGTACAAACTCAACTAGAATTCCTAGATCAAATGAAGTGGGTTTAAAAATTAGTTTAAAATGTTTTTATAAATGGAATAAGAGTGCTTGAAGAAAAAACTAGAAAAGAAATGAGAGCTATGGAAGAAAGAAATGGAAAGGATTAACAGCTTGGCACAAGAAGTCCAAAACCTTGCCCAAGCAACAAACTCCCTGAAAGTTAGAATGGATCGGGGCAGCTAGGTGGCAAAGTGGATAGAGCATCAGCCCTGAAGTCAGGAGGACCTGAGTTCAAATCCAGCCTCAGACATATGACACTAGCTGTGTGACCCTAGGCATGTCACTTAACTCCACTGCCTAGCCAAAACAAAACAAACAAAATTAGAACGGACCAAATATAGCCAATGACTCCATGAGCAAAAAGGAAAAATTAAAAAAAAAAGTCAAAAGGCTGAAAAAATGGAAAAAAAAAAGTAAGATATCTCATATCAAAAAAAACTGACCTGGAAAACAGATCCAGGAGAAAAAAAATTAAGAATCACTGAACTTCAAATGTTATAATCAAAAAAAGAACCTAAACATCATATTTTAAGAAATTATGAAAGAAAATTATCCATATATCTTAGAACCAGAGGGCAAAGTGAAAACATAAAGAATCCACTTCCTGAAATAAAAGAAAACTCCCAGGTACATCATAACTAAAATCCAGAGCCTTCAGGTAATAGAAAAAAACATACTGCAAACAATTAGAAAGTAAGAATTCAAGCACAGAGGAGCCAAAGTCAGGATCACACACAATTTAGCAGTCACCACTTTAAAGGAGCAGAACGCTTGGAATACAATATTCCAGAAGGCAAAGGATATGAGCTTATAGCCAAGAATAACTTACCCATCAAAACTGTGTATAATGCTACAGGGGAAAAAATGGGCCTTTAACGAAATAGAGGACTTCCAAGCACTCCTTATTAAAAGACAAGAGCTACAGAGAAACTCTGGAGGACAAACACAGAAGTGAAAAGAAACATAAAAAGGTAAACATGAATGAACAATGATAAAGGACTAAACAAGGATAAACTGCTAACATTTAAACATTGAGAGATGAAATATGGATTTCCTTTAGGAAATTCAATTTAGACAAGGCCTGGGAGTGGTCCTGTTATGCCTTGATGATCCTAAGAACGAAAAGAGAAGAAGAGGCATATACCGAGAGTGGGGGGATAACATCTCACATAATCAGAGTGCACAAGCCGTTTGTCCTTCATTTTCAAACGATATCCAATGACAGATATCACAGGCAATGTACTGATGCATGCATTAACTGGATTTAGTGAGGCATGGCCGCACAAAATCGGCAGCCCCACTCTCTCTTCTAGAGTCATCAAAGTCCAGTGGCAAGACAAAAGTCAAGATAACTGGCAATGGCCTGGGATCCAGTGGATGACCCTGGCATCTTCAATGCCTGACCAAGCTCTAAGCTCTCCATAGTGTCTGCTTCAGCCACCTTCAGTGCCGCTGGAACAAACTATTGTCATCTGCCCATTCCACAGGGGGGAAGTCTTCTTATGCTTGGGTAGAGACCCCCCCCCCTCAACTCACCAACAGATTTGAGGCCCATAGGTTACCCTCAACCTGGTTTAGCTTGTCAGCTGAAAAGGTTTACTGGGATGTAGCCACTGATGTACAGCTTCTTGGAGCCACAGGTAAGAGAGTTGAGTGCCAGGTAGATACCAAAGACAGATGAGCAGCCCCAAAAAGGGATCTGCAAGCCCTCACTCCAGAGGTGCTAGTCCTCCTTGAACACCATATAACCCCAAGTAGATATCTATACAAAAATGCAGAAGGGACAGAAGTAGAAGTAGACACTTGAACCTCACTCTCATCTGAACTGGTCAAAAGGAGAAAGAATATACACATACACACACACACACACACACACACACACACACACACACACACACACA